TGTAAAAAAACAAAATGTCAAGCAGCACAGGGATTGGGTTCGAACTAACAACCTTCGGATTATCAATCCAATTGTACCGCTCTCTACCACCGGACACGCAAATGACGGAGGTTGTTAAAATGAGAAACAAAACCTTGGAACAGAAAAATCGAGATGTTGTTTGTTATCCTTATCGCGCCACCTGTCGCCACCTGTCGCGCCATCTGCCATACAAACACCTCATCGCATCATGACGCGTTCTCTCTGGCTAGATCGTGCAAAAACCGATCTAGTACCATAACAAAACCTCGCGCAGTGCACTGAAAACATCTGGACATTTTACTTAACCACGTTGAGAACCGAACCTGCGTAGGATCGACCGCAGGATCGCCATTCAGTGGACGCGCCCTCAACTAACCATCCACAACCCCACCTTCTCGACATTCCCCCTTCTTGTCCACTCACTTCTACGTGTTCCATGTTTTAATCTCGCTATTATCTTGCCAGCTAGTAGCTCAGCCTTTCCTATCTTCTAGGAGTCCTTATCTTGCCGTTCCCTGGTCCTTATCTGTTCGCTCCCTAACCCTTAAACTTCGCCATCGATGAGCTGTTTCTACAGATCTATCAATTACCGCGCCGCCTGTCAGTTTTCTTAAATCTATACGCTTCTAATACATTTTATTGCTTCCCGTTATGTACCTTCCTCTGGCAGAAAACGAGTGTCAACACAACATGAGAGTCTTAGGCGACAGAATGATAATCAATCATGGTGAGTCGTACGGTTATGCGGATCTGATTTTGTTACCTAGATATGTTATACTCTGTCTCTCCGCCATTGCGATTTATCAAAGTCGTCTTTCCAAGCAGATTGTTTTTTCGTTTCCCGTATAACTTTGTCGTCTTTCCTTTGCTTATTCGCAGAACGGAAAGTGGAGATAATGGAGGTACACACGTGAAGTTTATTTTTATTATGCCATTCCTAAATCTGTTATACTCCGTCTCTTGTCTCTCCACCATTGCGATTTATCAAAGTCGTCTTTCATCCGCTTGATGTTGTTTCATTTTCCCTATAACTTTGTAGTCTTTCCTTTGCTTATTCGCAGAACGGAAAGTGGAGATAATGGAGGTACGCACGTAAATCTTTTTTAATTATGCCATCCCTAAATCTCTCTTGGTTCACTGAGTAGTAAACGTGATGATTTCAGAGTGTCTACTTGCAGGGGGACTTTTTATTCGAGATAACATGGAAGTGAAGATCTTTTCATTATTCAGACATGCCCAATGTCATTCTAGGTCACTGCAGTGAAGGTGATTATGTCAAAACACATGCTGTTATTTTTTAAGCTGATGTATCACTTGAATATGGCATTTCACCCTCTAATGTGTTGGTTTTGTGCTGTCAGGTTATTTTACCTGTGCTGTGCTTTGATTTATATATTTTCTGGAGCAAATGTACAAGACCATGTTTCTTACGTAGTCATGATGTAGTTGTGGTACGGCGTTCTGTTTTCTAATATATATATATGACATTTTTACAAATGAAAGCTAATTTTGAGAAATGGACACTTTGTAAAGAGGTTTAATGGACCTGATGGTGATATGTAATAATTGTTTGCTCTGTAAATGTAGGTTTTGCAAAGTGTATTTTCCCATAAATCAATGTTGTACTGGACTAAATTATAACGAGGGTCATTCCGAGCGTGTACAGTGCATGCAAAATATTTTATAGCCGTTAGAAACGTAAAATCTATAACTGGAACCGGCGTACTCAATAACGGGGTTTAGGCGGATTGTGTGCTAGACACGTGTGACCTAAATCTGCCCTCATAGTTACTTTTGGGTCAGTCTATCTGACCCGTACCTGACTTTTCCCGCCAAATTTTGACCCGTACCTGACCCGTAACTGACCCGTACCTAGCCCGAAAGTCACTTTTGGGTTACCCATTCTGACCTCAATCTAGCCTAAAGTGTCAGTTCCATAAGTAACTTTTGGGACATATTCCGAGATGTCCCGAATATTGCCCGAAAGTCACCTGGGGGCCCCTTTTGGGTCAGTACATTTTGGAGATGAGGGTGTGTGCATGGTTTAGTGCGTGAGCGAGTGCATAGGTGAGTAAGAAGGTGAGCGTTTGAGTGAGTGCGAGGGTGAGTGCTTGGATGAGTGCGAGCATGAGTGTGAGCATGAGTGCGTGGATGAGCGTCGAAGAATGTGTGTTTGAGTGTGATATGACTGAGTGGCCAAGTGCGTGCCTGATTGTGTGAGTGAGTGCGTGGCTTCGTGCGACAGAGAGAGTGTGGTAGTGTGAGGGTGATTGATTGGTTGAGTGTGAGGGAGAGTGCATGGATGAGTGCGAAGGTGAGGGCGTGAGTGAGTATGGAAGTGAGTGCATAATAGAGTGTTGGCTCAAGCATGGGGCTGGCTCAAGCATGGGGCTGGCTCAAGCATGGGGCTGGCACAAGCATGGGGCTGGCTCAAGCATGGGGCTGGCTCAAGCATGGGGTCGACTCAAGCATTGGGGCTGGCTCAAGCATGGGGCTGGCTCAAGCATCAAGCATGGGGCTGGCTCAAGCATGGGGCTGGCTCAAGCATGGGGCTGGCTCAAGCATGGGGCTGGCTCAAGCATCAAGCATGGGGCTGGCTCAAGCATGGGACTGGCTCAAGCATGGGGCTGGCTCTAACATGGGGCTGGCTCAAGCATGGGCCTGGCTCAAGCATGGGGCTGGCTCAAGCATGGGGCTGGCTCTAGCATGGGGCTGGCTCTAGCATGGGGCTGGCTCAAGCATGGGCCTGGCTCTAGCATGGGGCTGGCTCAAGCATCAAGCATGGGGCTGGCTCAAGCATGGGGCTGGCTCAATTATGGGGCTAGCATCAAGCATGGGGCTGGCTCATGCATGGGTTTAGGGTTGCTGCAGTGAGCTCACGCCTTTCTGCAGTGAGCTCACGCCTTGCTGCAGTGAGCTCACGCCTTTCTGCAGCGAGCTCATGCCTTGCTACGGCTGCCCCCTTGCTCCTCTGCCGGTGCCTTGCTGCAACTCTCTAGCACCTTGTAGCATGGCGATGCCCAGCCCGTTGCACCTTCCTCGCTGGAGCCACCAGCATGGTGTGCTTGACCCCAGGGAATCTATGCCTCAAACCACACTTGTGAGTCGTCAAATTTGGTTTCCTTTTGTACTTATCATATTTCAACCCATACTTGCTTTTCAAGTTCTATTTCACAATCAAGTGCATGCTCGTCACTGAAATTCACTCGGTTTTCTGACTACAATTCATTTTCTACTTGACCTGTTTGTTTTGCAAGGTGTGTGAGATGCGTTGTGGGGAGCAGGGAGGGTAATTCGAGAGACGAAGTCAATGTGGAAAAGGGTGGAAGGAGATTTTGATGGAGGGAGAGGAAGGCAGGCGGAAAGGGGGAGGAAGTAGCAGTGATTGATACATAATTAACTTATTGCGACTCTTTGTTTTGTCTGCTATCAATCCTATTTGTGTATGTATGTGTGTGTTTGTGCCGGTGTGCTCGTTGTGTTTGTTTCACTGTGGGGTTGCATTTTAATGCGTTTGGTTAGATGGGTTGTACTTTTTTTTACGTGCGTTTGTGGGATGTGTGTTTCAAAGTGTGGTGTTAGTATGTGTCATGTATGCAATTAGAGGTTGTTAATCGTCTTTGGGGCAGCGGGTTTTCGCTGTTTCAACGACCCCATCAACCTCTGTTGTTACATGATGCATTTTAACATTCATTTTGAAGCATCCACCTACATTTCATACTTTGTTGCTCATCTGTACAATTGCATTCGTTCATGTTGAATCCAGAATATTATGCTCGGCCGTACCATCCGCCGTATTAATCGACGAGGTGGGACGGTCGAACAAGTTCGTGGTTTCAACATGATACGCACGTGCATGGTTTCACGTTTATGGATCTCATTCAAGAGTGGTTTTTATTCACTATTTGAGGCATCCGTTTGAACAAAGTCTTAGAAGTTCAAATGTGTGCTCCAAAGAGTGTATGGAAAATCACCTTTGAAATGATATCCCCAAAATGTGAAACCAAATATAAAGGGTTGCTACGCAACCCAAAAAGAAAAACTGCAACACATTACACCCTACAAACAAAACCTCTGAATCAGTATATCAAGTGGACCCAACTAGAAGGGGGGGGTCACTATTTTGCATGCGGGCTTTAAAAAGCGTACGCGATGATTCCGCCCCACGATTCTCCTCTCTTTGTGATCACTCTGATCAGAGTTTCACCCTCGACGGGAAATTCTAGAAGCTGGCATCATTGGATTCCAGCCGCAGCATCAGGAAGGCGAGTTTCACGCGCGCTGAACTCCCGCTTAGCTCGATCTCCCATGGCGATGTCGCGAGAGGAGCAGTTGCTGCAACGGCCGCCGGAGGCGGTAGCCGACGTACGCGATAGAAGGACTCCTGTTATTGACCCTAGTTTAAAGGCATTATACAAGTCGCCGGTCTCTCATTTTTCAGCTTTGCGAGTTGTTCCTCGTTCCATTTTTCTGACGTAATCACGTCGCTGGAATGTACCCGAGGTCTCCATTGCCCTCGCCGTAGCTCCATGATCCCTTGCGTTGAGTCGACTCAACGCGTAGTGACATCGTAACTGGAATGTAGTATCAGGCATCTCTCATTGCCACGCAAGAAATTTCTCCCTTCCCCCTCCTCGCCCATCCACTCCCTTCCTTTTTCCTCCTTCCTCTTTCCCCCTTCGTCTCCTCTTCTCCCCCTCCACATTCCCCTTTCGCCTTCCCCAACCCCGAAATGGTTCCTCGAGCGTGTTCTTACGTCTTCCCACCTCGTAATTCCCGTGCTTCAGCGGTTTTTCCGCGACCTCTTCGCGACGGGCGTGGGCGCAGGGCTCACTGTGCGACACACGAGCGACATGGGGCGAGGTAATGAGCGACGCTTGGCGAGGGGATGAGCGAGATTGAGCGAATTGATGAGTGGAAGGGGGTCCTAGGCTGAGTAGATTGAAAACGCCCACCGCTTCTTCTGAGGTGATCAGGCGATGAGTGGAGGGGAGTCCTAGGCTAAACTTCATCCTAGGCTAAACTTCATACTAGGCTAAACTTCGCCCTAGGCTGAACTTCTAAACTAGGGGCTCCCCAAGCTCGTCCAGTGCACGAGTTCTCTAAGGAAACTTGCCCTTGTTTCACTTAATTGCTTCACTAATCTGCTCACTGTCGGTCTTTAAGAACGTTCATAGGCCGTCACGTTGCATGCACGCTCTGCCTGCCAGGCTGCCAGCTGTCAGCTGATCTACTCTCTCTGCACTTTGTGTGTGCTGACTCCTCCACTCCCGTCCAATCAGGGGTGTTTGCTGACGTGGATTTCAAGGAGGGTGACGTGGTGCTGCAGGAGCCTCCGTTGGTCAGCATGCAACACTCTCACAATAGGGTAATCTGTACACTCAGATTAGGGCAACGAGTGGGCTAGTATCATCCAGTACCCGGAAACCACTAGTATGTTCCTGTTCTTGCCCCATTCGTTATTGCACTAATTTTACGCTTCTCCGTTCTTGCTTTGTCAACTATCCTGTTGATGCTTTCGTCTCCTCCCCACTTTCTCTTCCTCTTCCCTTTCTCTTTTCTCGTCCCTTCCTGTCTTGTTCCGGCCCGAGCACTGGCGTCCCACCGCCTGCTTTTCATTGGCCCGCTAGAGTAGCTAGTCGAGTTTTGAGTCGACTCAAAACTCGGCCGAAGCACTGGCGTCCCACCCCACCCCACCGCCTGCTTTTCGTTGGCCCGCTAGAGTAGCTGCTGCATCTGTCTGTCTCCACGTTATACCCGATATCTTGAACCCTCATCTCAAACCCCATACCCTCAACCCCTGTTACAGGCCCGAGCCCTGGTCTGCTCCCACTGCTTGCGTTTCATTGGTCCGCTGGAGCAAGCTGTTGCCCGGCTGCTGACGTGGCAGAAGGGAATGAGAGAGGAGGAAGAGGTAGAAAAAGGCGAGGAGGATCAAGAGGACGCTAAGGAGGACAAGGAGGAAAAGGAAGGCGAAGAAGGAAGTAAAGAGGAATCACCAGGAGAAGCAGCAGCAGTGGAGGGGTTCATAGAGCAGTTGTCAAGCGGGCAGCTGAAGCTGCCTCATGCGGAGTGTGTGGGCACGTTGCCTTCTGCTGTGCCGTGCCCTGGCGGCTGCACTCAAGAGACCTTCTGCAGGTGAGGCGGTGGGGAGGGCGCATGGGGGGAAGGGTGTATGTGGTGAGGGGATGCTGATGGTGTGGCCGTGTTTCCCCTTTGCTGCATACCACATGTTCTACACCTCATGACATACCATACATACCCCATCCATAACCATACTACATGTCCTACTGCAAATCATGCCGCTGCATGCATGCCATGCCCCATGTCCACTATTTCCATGCCATACGCAAGTGATGATGCTGTGTTGCATGCCTATCCTCCCCTATCCCCCCTTATCCCATCGCACTACCCCATGGATCACGGCACCCCTTTCATCAGCGCCACCTGTGCCACGTCAGCATGGGCGGATGGTCATGCCATGCTGTGCGTGGGCCATGCCTCACATGCCAAGGACACTGAGGCCCTGAAGGCCTTCTATACCCATGCTGATGGTAAGGCAATGCTGATGCTGAGCGTTATGGGAGGTACAAGGGTTGAGAATTTGCTGTGCCTGGGCCATGCGTCACATGCCAAGGACACTCAGGCTCTCAAGGCCTTCTACACCCATGCTGATGGTGAGGGAAGATAAGGGGTGACTTTTGAGTCGACTCAAAAGTCACCTGATGGTGAGGGAAGATAAGGGGTTGGGACTCTACACTCGTGCCCATGCCATGCTGTGCGTGAGCCATGCCTCACAGGCCAAGGATCCGCTTATCTGAAATCACTGCATCGCAGCCCACCTGTCTGCTACTGACACCTCTTATCTGAAATAACTTTTTGAGTATTTTCAAAATTGATCTGAAGTGAGCCATGCCTCATGTGCCAAGGACCCTCTTATCTGCTCCCATTCATGTTTGTTCCCATTCATGTTTGTTTCCCACCCAATCATCCTCTCCCAAGTAGGCCATGGCTATCTGTCTTCCTTTCACCATCCGACCCCCTTTTCTCTTCTTCTCGATTGCCGTCCTCCAGTCTTCGAGGTGCTTCAGCAGCCTCTTCTTCATTCTCTTTTCATTCCCCATTTCCGCCCTTCTCTTTCCAATGTCTCTGTCCTTTCCTTTCCCTCCATCCCAACCTTCGCAGAATCAAATGACATCTTCCGATTGGCCGCCAAGGTGATTGATTGCTCCCATTGGAGCATTTATGACAGATGTACTTTTTTACCCATGATAGCCTTGTTCCAAAAACTTGAGCACCTATCTAAGCTGCTTTCACCTAAGGATGGGGTGGATGGACATACGAAGCACTAAAGGCACTCGGCTATGCATTGTGTGACTTTTGAGACGTCTCAAAACCTGCTCGGTTATGCATTACAAATGCATCGTCTCTCATTCATTCATGTTCGAATTTCAGGTGGTTGCATCAGCCCTGTCCCCCGCTGACTCCTCACTCGGAAGGAAAGGAGGAGGAGATGTTGTGGAGGGGGAGGGGGAGGAGAGGTGGAGGGTGGTGCTGGAGGCATGGACTCCGTTTGCTGTGGGTCACAAGGCTGTGTGAGTGAAGGGGGGTGAGAAGGAATGGTGTGAGGAGGGGGGTGAGTGAAGGGGTGGTGTGAGGTGGAAGGTGGTGCTGGAGGCATGGACACCGTTTGCTGTGGGTCACAAGGCTGTGTGAGTTGGGGGGGGGGGGGGGGGGGGGGGTGAGAGCAAGTGCGTGGCCATTATGATTTGTGCTGCCATTTGTATTTTTCTGTGAATTGGTTGACGCCACGTGTCCTCTCGTGATTCGCCGTTGCAGATGGTGGGAGGCAGTGGCTTGCCCGCCTGACGTGGAAGCAGGAAGCGACGAGGAAGCTTCCTTCCGAGCCTGCATGAAATCGATGGCCGAGGAGGTGTGGTGGAGGTGAATGGACGGCTCAGATTGTTCATAGGTCACTGCTGTATCTTTGCTGCTGTGACTAGTTTGATTTTCCTTCTGTGGAATTCGCTACCTTAGTTTTGCTACAGATTGTGACTGTCTGTACTGTCTTCCCCTGTTCCTCCTCTTCTTCCGTTGTTCATCCTTCTTCCCCTGTTCTTCCATCGTTTCTACTCCTCCTTTCTTCCCTTATATTTTCTTTCCTTACCCAATTTCCTCCTTTCCATTCCCCTGTTCCCTCAGTCTCTCAAACTGCTCACTCAAGCCATAGGCCCACAACCGCCTGTGCTGCAGCCATGTGAGTGTAACCATGTGAGTGTAACCGTGTGAGTGTAAACGTGTGAGTGTAACCGTGTGAGTGTAACCGTGTGAGTGTAACCATGTGAGTGTAACCATGTGAGTGTAACCATGTGAGTGTAACCATGTGAGTGTAACCATGTGAGTGTAACCATGTGAGTGTAACCGTGTGAGTGTAACCATGTGAGTGTAACCGTGTGAGTGTAACCGTGTGAGTGTAACCGTGTGAGTCTAACCATGTGAGTGTAACCGTGTGAGTGTAACCATGTGAGTGTAACCATGTGAGTGTAACCATGTGAGTGTAACCATGTGAGTGTAACCATGTGAGTGTAACCGTGTGAGTGTAACCGTGTGAGTGTAACCATGTGAGTGTAACCGTGTGAGTGTAACCGTGTGAGTGTAACCGTGTGAGTGTAACCGTGTGAGTGTAACCGTGTGAGTGTAACCGTGTGAGTGTAACCGTGTGAGTGTAACCGTGTGAGTGTAACCGTGTGAGTGTAACCGTATGAGTGTAACCGTGTGAGTGTAACCGTGTGAGTGTAACCGTGTGAGTGTAACCGTGTGAGTGTAACCGTGTGAGTGTAACCATGTGAGTGTAACCGTGTGAGAGTAACCATGTACTGTGTTAATTGTGAGGTGAACTATTTGAGCCATCTGCAGCATTTCATGCAGCCGTGACAGGTGAAGTACTTGCATCCATGCTTGTACGGTGGTGGAATCACATGAGAAATATGCCTGTTCTTTGTTCCATATTCCCTTCCCTTCTCCTCCCACCAGTGCTGTCACTATCAGTCTACGGGTCTATCATTGGCATGTTTGAACTCAACAATCTGTAAGCATCTCAAATCAGCTACGTTAGTCCTTTGGAGGTGCCTGGAATTTAAATCAACTACATGTAAGCTCTACACCAGATCGTACTAGTGCTATCGCTTTCAGTCTACGGGTCTATCATTGACATGTTCGAATTCAACAACCTGTAAGGGCCTCAACAACCAGCTTCCTTTCCAATCATCATCTCCCTCCCATCTCCCACTCTCCCAAGTATGTTGGTACCTTCCCCAGTATCAACCTGCTTCAACACAACACAGCCTTTTCGTTCCTATCGTCCCATGGCCTTCCCTTCAGGGACCTGGTAGTGCCTTCCCCAGTAACAACCTATTTCAATCGGATTCAAGACATGAGTGCGGCTGAGCAGGTGAAAAAGCAGAGATATGCACAGGGTATGACTGTCTAACATTTTATTACTTATGCGGCCTTCGATTCTCGATGAGACATCTCATCTCAGTCTCTCTGAAATGTTTCATTTCACTCTTTTTTTCGTGCACTTGTCAGTGCATATGTGTGCTTGTTCGTGCAGGCATCGCAATTGAGCGGATGAAAAAAAAAAGCACAGAAGAATATATATGTATATAGATATGTTCAGATATATCGAGACATTTCATTCTTGGCATTTCATTCTTTATTTCACACACCTGTCCATGCGCGTGTGCTTGTTGGTTTAGGCACCTGCAGAGGCAGTGGTTGGCCCGCTAAGGGAGCTGCTAGAGCAAGGGGGAGGGGGGAGGGATGGTGGCGATGAGGAAGAGGAGGGTACAGGGAAGGATGGGGATGAAGAGGTGGAGGATGATGGTGATGATGATGACGATGATAGTGATTATGATGATTTGCTGCAGTGGCACTGTCAAGGTATGACAATGCTGCTGATTACTTTTAAGTCGGCTCAGAAGTCGGTGATTTGCTGCCACTGGTGTGCGCTGTGCTGATGATGGATTGCTGCAGCAATCATTATCCACTGCTGCTTCTTTCTGTTGGCCACACTGCCCTACATCAGATCCTTGTATCTGAATTCACTTTCGATGCTTTTTGAATCTCGATTGTCCGATTCTACTGTAACTGACAGCTCTACCTTCCCTGTGTCATTCGGTCCACTTCTCCAGGCACTGCCTTTCACTTATCCACGTGTCACTCCCCGTTTTGCATCAACTTAATAGCTGTCTCTCTCTTTTTCTCCGTTCTCTGCCTAGCAGGCACGGCCTTTTACTCTCTTCAGAGCAGCATCAACCACTCATGCTGCCCGAATGCACACGCCTTCAAGCGAGACGAGGTGAGTGTTTGCAGCAAGATGGTGAGTCATGTATGGTGAGGATGCCCTCCGTCTTCCTGAGGGCTTCCATAGTTCCCAAGAGGTGACTCTTGAGTCGTCCTGAACCGGCTTTTGAGACGCCTCAAAAAGCCGCATGCCTTCAAGCGAGATGTGGTGAGGGTTTGCACAAGATGGTTGAAGTGATTGGAACAGCGTCCAATCTGCATGATGCATGTTATGGTGGGTCATGGTGAGGACACCACAAGAAGCACTACGGAGGCCTGCACAAGATAGTTGAGGAGGCCTGCATCCATAGTTTCTCCCACCCAAAGGACGTTATGAGGATGAACAATACAACGTTGCGGGAAAAAGAGAGAGAAAAAAAAAAAAAACGTTATGAGTGGAGGCCCCACTGGTTCACCTGACATTCGCCCCCATGCAACTCGCCAGTAGATCCTGAGTTTTTCTGAAGCTCAGCAGACATTACTCTACTGCTGGCCCTGTGCTGCGACAATCACTAACTCTGGCCCTGTGCTGCTGTGACACGTGGCAGGACATGGATGGCCGAGCAGTGCTGCTGGCAAGCCGAGACATCAAGAAAGGAGAGCAGGTTCGTCTGTTCGGGTCTTTCCCATCCATTCTCCATGTATTTGGACGCATGTTGTTTCAATGCATTCATTGGTAATCCAATCGGGGCAGGATAAGTTGTTTCTGAAACAGTTTTTATTCCAGGCCGGATTTCTCTCTGCCCAATACAAGTCTCTACGTTTCCTCCCCCACCTTTCCCCCCTCCCCCCTCCCAATATCACCCACAGGTGTTCATATCATATGTTGAGGAGTCTCTCCCACTAGAAGAACGAAAGGAAGCTCTAGCAGATTACGGCTTTCTGTGCCGATGTGGCCTGTGTGTGGCACAGGGGGGGCAGGAGTAGGTACCAGGACCTAGGGAATGGGTTGGAATCGATTGAAGTCTCTTCCACTAGAGGATCGAAAGGAAGCGCTAGCAGACTACGGCTTTCTGTGCCAATGTGAGCTGTGTGTGGCACAGGGGGAGCAGGAGTAGGCCCCAAGGAGTGGATTTGGCTGGAAGTTTCAGGCATACTAGGGGAGTGAAGATGGCAGGGGCAGGGAACAGGGATCAGGGAACATGGATCAGGGAACGCAAACAACGTCAGATGGATCAGAAAAAGAGGAAACAGGGAACAAGAAGCGCCATCGGCAGACCAGGGAGCAGGGAGCAGGGAACAGGGAGCAGGTTCACATGGAACAGAGAAGGGGGAAGTGGGAACAAAGAGGTTCATCAGCAGACTACGGTGGGGTGGATAGGCATACGGTACATGGCAAGGCAAGGC